TTTGGGAGCAAATGAGCTGTCTCTTTGAGTATTGTGGGCATTTAGATGCTCTCAGTCTGGGAAAAATGGGCAGAGGGACCCCCAGACAGGGCCTGTGGCAAGCCAGACCTTGGTACGGGTGTGCTCAGTGACTGACTAGGGCCTTAGAACAACAGCTTCAGGGTTTAACTGTGGGGGTCACCGGGAGAACCCTAATTCCTGAGAGTCTGTCTCCCCATAGTTCTTTCCACCTGTGGCTCTGCCTCAGCTATGGGCTTGGGATGGGTGGGCCGGGTACAGAGCCCCCAGGAACTGGGACTCACTTTGCAACACTCTGTCTCTTCCCTTCCCTTGGTCTCTGGCTCTCTGCCTCTCCCTGTGGTTCACTCTGGCAATTTTCCTATCTCTGCCTTTCCCCTTGGTTCTGCCTCTTCTGTCTGTGGCCCGCTCTCTGCCTCTCTGTTTTCTTGCGGCTATCTCTCGCCCTTTCCCTGTGTCCTTTCCCCATGCTGTCTCCCTCTGCATGGCTCTGTCTCCTTCTGCCTCTCCGCATCCGTCGCTCGCCATGTCTCTGTGCCTGGCTGTGTATCTGCCTCTTGGGGGGTGTCTGGGTCCCTCCCTAGCTGACTACATCGTGATGCAGTTTGGCCGGGTGGCAGAAGACGTGTTCACCATGGATTACAACTACCCGATGTGTGTCCTGCAGGCGTTTGCCATCGCGCTCTCCAGCTTCGACAGCAAGCTGGCCTGTGAGTAAGCGGGCGGGCGCTGCCCCAACCCCCCGCCCCGCAGGAAGTCCCCCAGCCAGTCTGTGGCCCCAGGACTTGCCACGTGGGTCTGGCTAAGGCTGGTTCCCCACTGCCTCACATTGGACCCTCTCCAGCCAAGATGGGAGAAATGGCGTCTTTCTCTCCAGCACTCCCATCTCTCATCGTTTGTCTTTCCTGAAGACGGCGAGGTGTCCTCGCTCTGAACATAGACATTTCACTCCATGCTCCCTTTCTGCCCCAGTCCCTTCCCATGTCTCCCAGATCTCCATTAGGCATTACTTCCTCATCCTCATTCCTGTCCTCCCCCTTCCCTCTCAGCCGATTTCATCTTGACCTCCCTCATCCCCTCCCAACCAGTCCCATCCTATCTGTCCTCATCCTGTTCCTTTCTTTCCTTCCTCCACCTCATCCTCCTTTGCCAGTCCTCTCTCAGGGCTTGACTGTGCCTGGGTTCAGGCCCAGTTGGGGTAAAGGAGGGGGTGCCGTGAGTTAGAGAGAGCACACTCCTCATTGACCCAGGGAAAACTCCAAATATCCCTTTTTCCCATCAGTGCTGACTCACAAATACAAAACGTACCCAGAGAGAGGGGGCTTGGAGTCTCCTCTGTGGCTGTGTCAAAATCAAAGTCTGTTAGTCTTTGTCTGGGCCTTGGGGGTTATAACCCTGGAGGCATAAAGGCTGGCAGAACACAGGACATCCTGCCACAGCAGCCCCTGTCTGAGGCTGCTGCCCAAGTTGTCCCATGGCTCCCACTCAGGACTTTGGTTTCGTGTGGAACCACCTCGTTATAAAGCCACCTGCTCCAGTCAGTGGTGAACCAGGGGTGTGTGGATGTGAGATCACGCGTCTCCTGTGAGCATGTTTTGTCTTTCTGTACATGTGTGATTGTGTATGTGCGATTCCACCTGAGAGTGTCTGGTTATATGTGGGTGACCACCTGTGTGACTGGTTTATGCATCTATGTTCACCTTTCTGATTGTGTTTGTCTGAATGTGTCTGGGTGACCAACAGCTGTGTGTGAATGTGTTGTGTGGGTGACTTCTTGCTCCAAATTTCATGAAATATTCCCTTGGGCCTTGTAAGGACTACAGGGTATGTGGGCAGCGGATTATTTCTTCCTTGCAGTGAGTGGTCTGGGGGAATTTACTCTTCTGCGTAGGTGCCTGGCAGCTAGCCTTGCAAAGCCTTGGCCCCAGGCAGGGCTCAGGCCTAGGCCAGGGTGCAGTGCTGAGAATCCTTTGTCTCAGGAAAGACAGAACCTGAGATGGTGTCCCCTGGATAATCATGTGTCAGCTAGAATCAGGAAGAAGTTTTATCTTGGCCCAGCCTGAAGGAAGGGCACCTGAGAACTCTAGACCTCTAGGCCAATGTCAGGCTGGCTTTTTCCAGAGTAGTGTTCAGTGCAGAGTTCTGGATTTGAGGTCAGGACCTGGGTTCAAATCCTGGCTTTCCTCTTTCTGACCTGTATGACCTTAGGCAAATCACTTAATTCGTCTGTACCTCAGTTTCCTCATCTGTAAAATGAGGGGGACAGGGTTGGACTAGACCTCTGAGGTCCCTTCCAGCTCTAAATCTGTGCTCTTCCTGTAACCCTAATTGAATTACATGAAGGAGGCATGGATCTTGGGCTCTGCATCAATGATCTAAGTCCTGTTTAGCTCATTAAACCCTTAGTATGCCCAGGGAGCTGTTTAATAACAATAGGAATAACAGTAACAGTAGTAGCTCACATGTCTATAGCGCTTTAAGGTTTACAAAGTCCTTTTCCCCCAGAGGCCCTAGAAGGTTGATAGTACAAGTGTTATTACTCACATTTAGAAAGGAAGAAGTCGAGGTTGAATGTACTGAATGGGGCCATTTTGGATATGTCCTGAGGGGCCTGGTCTGGGGTCAGGAGACATGGGTTCTGTCCCCAGCTCTGCTGGCTCATTCCCTCCTGTTCTCAGCACCTGTTTCTTCTTCTGGATAAGGGAGTTGGGCTCAGGGATGGCTCAAGGGCCCTTCTCATCCTGTGATTGAATCCAGAAACTTCAGGGGGATCAAGAATTGGAGACTTTCTGGAGATGCAGCGACTTGGGGGGTGGGGGCGAGGTAGGACACTGGTGGTCTGGAACCCAGAAGCACAAAGCAACAAATTTCATTGCCCACCCCAGGGGGGTGGCCTGTGGGGCAGGGGAAAATGTTCAGGAATAAGAACCACGCAATAGCTACAGTGCCTCACTGATCACTAGGGGAGGGAGGTGTGATGTCAGAAACCTGAGGGCTGAAGGTATTTCAGGTCAAAGCCTTGGTTAGGACACATGAGCTCTGCAGCCCATACGGGCAGTCTTCCCACCCTCAGCTGGTTCTTGGTGGCCACTCTGTGTTTTTGGTATTCTTTGTTCCCACTCTTAGGGGCCCTGCCAGACAAACTAGCTTCCCTTTCCTTCTGAATGTCTGTCATGTGTAAGGAGGGAATCTGTGTGCATGAGCACGAGTGTGTTTGCAGGCGGCCTGGCCACCCTTTGAATCCAAACCAGACTTAAGGGTTTCCTGAAGTACAGAAACTGCTGGGTCCAGTTCAGCATGCTGGGAGAATAGTCTGTATTGGCTGGGGAGCAGATGTCTTCCAGGAATTCTGTCCCCTCACTTCCTGACCTTCTTGGGGCAGAGGCTGCCCCTGGGTTGGGAAAGCAGGTAATTCCTCAGGGGCTCTGGGCAAGAGGAGGGTGTTCAGAAGAAACAGCATTTTCTATATTTTTTCCTTTCCTTTTTGCATTACTAAACTTAAAAGAAATCAGTTAGTTTGCATGTGTGTTCTTGGGTAAATTGGGACACATTCTGGGGAAAGTGCCTTACCAGTTAACACTAGTGAAGAAAGCATGTGGGAGGGGTCCCATTCCTCAGTGGGAATACCCAGGGGAAGATGCTGCCCGGCGATGAGAAGCCACACAGACTGAGATTTAGGGGATCAAGGAGTTCCAGGGATAAAGGGTAAGAACAGTGGGTTAGAGAGAGACCTATGGGTTCTCCCCATCAGTGAAAAGAAGAAAATGGAAGATCTCTTCCCCGTGAGTTCTTAAAACATGGGTGAGTTGCTAGGTTTGTAAAGTAGATGTCTGAGCATGTTTGTCAAGAAGTGGCCCACACGAGTGAGCCTTGAGATACCAGTGGGGCTTTGGTCCCAGGGTGCTGAAGGCATTCTTATGCAAGCAACTTCTATCGACTGTGGCTTTATGTTGGCAATAATGTTGGCGTCTTCCCTCCTTTGGCACCCTCCTCCCTCTCACCAGTCCTCTTCGAAGACCCCTGAGTGCAGGCCAGGGCCAGGTGTCTTGGAGGACACTCATTAGGGGCCACCTCTCCCTGATGTATTCCCAGGTGGCAATTGATGCTCCACTTCCAAAGACGTGGCCTAACGCAGCCGATTTCCATTGGTACCCAGAATTGTAAGTGAGCCCCTGGCTACCCGCCCGTGGAAAGTGACCAGAAGACAGCATTTGGCTTCTCCCCGCTCCGGTTCAGTCCACCTCTGAAGCGTGGACTGGGCTGCCTCTGTCCCTATGAATCCCCAGGAGTAAGTCCTGGCTGGCTCCTGGCTGACCTGAGGTGGGTGGTCAGTGCTCCCTCCAGCAGGGAGTGGACACTGCTTCCCAGTCAGGAACAGACTCACATGCTAGGCAGGGGCCCAGCTTCTCCCCTCTTAAGGGGTCGAGGGGACTACTTGTGCTTAATTGGCTCAAAGCTTGGCTTGACATTTCTATGTGCTTTTGCTTTCAGAAAGGAGAGATTGGGGGAGCATTCTGGTTTTTATGAGCATTCCCACTGAGTTTTTATTACAAGACCAAATCAGAGCAAACCAAATCGCCCTCACCCCCACCCCACCCCTTGGTGCCCATTACATTGTCCAGCTCATCACAGTGCCTTTTTTTTTCTTTTCTATGAAGGATCCCCCCACCCCCTCTCTCTTCTTCTCCCCAAGGCTTGCTGGAATCTGAGCTGGGCTGGGCCTCAGGTGTTTCCTGTAATGTAGCTAACTCATGGTGAGTTAGAAAGCAGCCTGGCCAGAAGGCCCAGCACTGCCTCAGTGCTGAGAGCCCAGACTTAGCCAGTCATTTCTCATAATGCCTAGAATGTGTTATGTCTATTTGCACAAGAGTGTCTTTTCCTATTTTCGAGTGGTCAGACATTTTATTTTTGTTCAAAACTATCTGGAGTTTTAGATGAATCTGTGCTTTTATTAAGTGACTTTTTAAATAAACTCTTTGGTATTTGAGCAAATGTATTTATTTATCAGTATGTGCAATGCCTAATTTGGTATTTTCATAATGACATGTCTGGTGTAGGAATTAGTGTTTGGCTACATACAGAAAACAAACTAACAAATTAAACCTTAACTGTTTCAACACTGCTGTTTATGTCTTTCCTGGAAGGGGGAAGGTCATTTGTTCCTTGTCATTCCTTGGTAATTTTCTAAGTTGATACTAACCCTTCACAGACATTCTCATGTGCCCCTGCCCCACAGCCCACTTGCCTTATCAGCTAAGTTATCATGTAAGGCCTCAAAGCCACCAGGCCGGGAATTTTAAAGTAAACTTCCTGGACAGGCAGTAGGATGGTTACTAGTGACCTAAGCATGTTCTAAGAGTTGAAGAAAAGATAACTCACATTTCCATATTGCCTTATTTTCCTCCCTATAACAGTGCAGTGGGGGCTGGCAGATTTAAATAAAATTTTCATGTGTAAGAGTTGGTAGGCTGAAAGGCTAAGTACTCCCAGGTAAGGGAGAGCCCTTTGACTCATTAGCATGGAGAGAAGGGAGAATCTGCTGAAATGGTAGAGTGGAAAGAGCCCTGGACTTTGAAGGTAGAGACTCCAATTAAAATCCTAACTGTGTGACCTTCAGATGTAAGTCATTTGCCTTTCGGAGCCTCAGTCTCTTCATCTTGGGGTACTAGACATGGAGCAAGAATACCACATTTGAGTTGCAGCCTCTGAGACTAACTAGCAGTGAGATCATTGGGTAAGTCATTTCACATGCATAGGCCTCAATTTCCTCATCTAGAAATTGAAAGGATTGGATTAGAGAATTGCTGAGGTTGCCTGCAGCTCTAACATTCTGTGGCTCTAGCTGTAAAATGAAGATAACTACTGTATACCAGAAAGTGCTTTTTAAACCTTGAAGTACTATACAAATGGATTGTTGTTACTGCAGTGAGGTTCAGTCAGTCAACCAGCAAACATCTGTTACTAGGGTCAGATTTGGAGAGTCAACCCTTAAGAACCCAGGTGCAAACCAGGCAGAAATAATGATTACTCTGTAATGTCATCAACACAATCTGATTGTTCAGTTGATCTTGTTCAAAAACTGCACAAGAACTGCATGTACCAGGGAGCGTTCTTCACAGCTGTTGTTCCCACATCATCCTTGATCTAGATGTGTTTGACCCTCATATCTGGGAATAACTTTCCGAGTCATTTTGTGGACTACGGGACAGCAGTGGGGTCCCTGAAGATCCAACATCCTGAACCTTAAGGGTCCAAGGTAGGGGGGAGGTGAAGGTACACTCAGGATGAAACCAAGTAGAGGTGAGCCCCACACACAGAGCGCAAGCCCCAGTTCAGGAGTTAAAACTGGAAATATGAGAAAAGAAAAAAAAAACACCAGCCAGTATAAAAATGATTACAAGTCTGACTCTAGTTTCAAGCAGAGTCTCAAAGGAAAAAAAATGAATACCAAGAAGAAATAAATCAATAGATAAAAAATGAAATAACTCTACAGGAAAGAATTGGAAGAATGAATTGCTTAGAAGAGAAGGTGATTAACCTTGGCCAAGAAATGTACTCTTTGAAAACTAGAGTAGAAGAAACAAATCACTGACTCTGTGACACAATAAGAAATATTAGGAAAAAATGATAAATGGAAGAAGATGTAAGATATCTGATGTTTTAAAGAACTGACTTGGGGGGAGATAATTTAAGAATCATTGGACACTTTGAAAACCATTTGAAAAAAAAAGGTTGGACCCTGTATTTCAAGAAATCACTGGGGCAGCTAGGTGGCACAGTGGATAGAGCACCAGCCCTGAAGTCAGGAGGACCTGAGTTCAAATCCAACTGCAGACCAAACACTTTGACACGTACTAGCTGTGTGACCCTGGGGAAGTCACTTAACCCCAATTGCCAAAAAAAAAAAAAAGAAAGAAAAAAAAGAAATCATTAAAGAAAACTGCCCAGGTCTATTAAAACCAGAGGGCAAAGTAAAGATAGGATGAATTCACCGATTGCTTCCTGAAAGGAACCTGAAAAGGGGTAGTCCCAGAAATATTATAACCCAAATCTGAAGTTCCCATGTCAAAGAAAAAATACTGAAAGCATCCAGAAAGCAGTAGTCCAAGTATCAAGGAATGGCTATCGTAATCACAGAGGACCTTCTAACATAAATAAGAAATCTTGTAATACAATATTCTAAAAGGCAAAAGACTTAAAATGGAGAATAATTTGCCCTGCACAGCTGAATATAATCCTAAAGGGGTAATAAATGGACTTCTAATGGAATTGAAGAACTTTAAAGTATTTCTAATGAAAAGACCATAATTGAGTAGGAAATCTGAAATACAAACATGAATCAAGAGCAACCTAGAATTGCCAACTTATTTTAGCAATTGAAAGGACTTATATAATGATGTAGTGCTCACATTCTAATGGGGGAGAAGTAACAAATGTTTCTTTGGAACGCAGAGGGCATCAAAGGAGTGAAATAAGAAAAACAGGTAGGTAGGTAGGGGTGTGTGTGTGTGTGTGTGTGTGTGTGTGTGTGTGTTGTGTGTGTGTGTGTGTGTGTGTGTGTGTGTGTGTGTGTGTGTGTGTGTGTAGGCCTGGTTCTGTTTTGAGGGTCTGAAAAGCAGAAAGTGAAGGAAGGGTAGGCCAAGTGTGGTACTGCACAGTAATCCTTACACATATGGTGGTCAGAAAAAGAAATACTAGGACACTCTCAAGGTCTCTCTTAAGAACTTTGGAAATGACTGTGTGACATGGGAGGCACTGCCCAGCATAGTGTGACCTCATCAGAGAAAGTGCTGTGCCTTACAAGCAAAGCAGAATGGAAATAGCTCAAAAGAAAAATGAGATGCACAAATTTAGAGGACCCACCCCAAATGTTCACATGGCCTATTTGTGCCCAACCTGTGGTAGAGCATCCTGAACTTGTATTGGTTGATCTGCCACACCTGGACATGCTGTAACTGGGCTCTAACATAATGATGCCATTTTGGTCCTCTCTGAGAATAAAGGATGACCATAGCCAACCAATCCTTGCTGACGGGTGGGGCTGAGGCTGATGGATCTCTTGAGCTCAAACGTTTGGAGCTGCAATAGGACTAAAGTTGGGTGGCACCAGAGATGGCCACCAGGCTGCCTAAGGAGGGCCGAGTGGCCCTGGTCAGAAAAATGAAGCAGGTTCCATGCAGACTGATAAGGGGAATCAGGCCCGGGAATGACCATTACACTTCTAGCCTAGGGGAGATAGGGAGTCTCCAAATAAATAAATAAACATGGGTAACAGGAAGAACTACTTAATTAGAGCTGGGCAAAAGTGAAACGAATTGCCTTAGGAAGGGCAATGAAGCCTTTATCCCACCCCTACCAAAGCTTAACTAGAGGTACAGAAGCTGAATGTTGAAGGAGTATTGAGAACACTTCTCCTTCAAATAAAGGTTGGACTGAATGGCATCTGAGGTCCAGTTCTGAGGCCTTGTGATGCTCTGATGTTCGGATACTAAGCTAGAAAATATTTTTAATCTAATTTATATCAAGCCAGTCAGCATTTAAAACTTGGAGGGCCCTTAGATCATCTAGCCCAGAGAGTCTTAACCTGGGTTCCGTGAGTTTTAAAATTATCCTTTTTTTTGGATAACTATTTCAATCTAATTGGTTTCCTCTGTAATTCTATGCATTTTGTTTTCTCCATTTCAAAATATTCTGAGAAGAGGTCTGGAGGTTTCTTCAGACTGCCAAAGGGGTCCCATGACATTAAAAAAAAAGATTAGGATTCTAATCCAATGCTTTACAAATGAGGAAATTGAGGCACAGAGAGGTAAGTGATCAAGATCACACAGACCCTAACTAGTAGAACCGGCATTTGAACAAGGGTCTTTTGATTTCCAGTTCAGTGTTCTTTTCACTACACTGTATTTCAGTAGATCCTATTAGGACCCTTGAGGTAGCTCTTCTCCAAAAACATTTTTGTTTTACTATTCCCACTGTGCACTAAATATCTGGAAAGAAATCCAAAGATACTTCTTAGGGTAGTAGTTTCAGCAGGCAGAAAACCCTAATCTTTGCAAAACAGTTCCATCTTTTTTGGGGGGGGGCAAATGGGATTAAGTGACTTGCCCAGGGTCACACAGCTAGCTAGTAAGTGTCAAGTGTTTGGTCTGAGGCCAGATTTGAACTCAGGTCCTCCTGATTTCAGGGCTGGTGCTATAGTTCCATCTTTAATGTCTTTAGGTGGAGATTGAGTAGAAAACACCTTGGAAATAATTTCTCTAGCCAGAGTTAGTAACATTAATATTGTGATATTGTGTTTAATGTCTCAGATTGTACCTGGATTATTTCCAGGTTTCTCAGGGGTAAAACACATTTCATTCCAACAAACACACACATGAAACAAATGTTCATCATGCTGCATACAACATATTCTTTATATGGTAACTACCTACACCCATCCACTTGTTAAGATGGCCAGCATGAGCACAACACATTTTCAATAAAGTCTGTTCCTAGCACAGCCAGAGCATCCTACTTTTAGGCCTTTTTCAATGCCGCTGGCTCCATATTGTGTGTGTATATACATCTCATGGATGTTAATCCTTAACAAATCATGGTATTTGAGTTATTGGAGAAGACTTAGAAGCATAGGTTTAGATCTGGAACCTTAAAGTCCATTGGGTCCAACATTTTCATTTTCCAGATGAACAAAATGAGGTTGATAAAGCTTAATTGACTTGTCCAGGGTCAAACACAGGTCTCCTTGACTCTAAAATCAACACCACCCATTGTACCATCTGTCTTCCTCTTCTAACATTTGATGGGCTGTCGTGGTGAAGAGGGATTAGATTTGTTCCTTGTGGTTCTAGAAAGCTGAACTAGTGTAGGTAGATAGTAAAAGTTGCAAGGAGTCAAATTTCAACTATTTTTAAGTCAAACCTTCCAACCCTTAACATTGTCCAACAGTTTCTTCAAGAAGTTGTGAATTCATTGTGCTATAATAAACACAAAGGGGACTGTTCCAGAAAACTTTGGAAGACTTGATGACTTGAATGAAATGATACACAGTGAACTGAGCACGGCCAGGAAAACAATTCATACAGTAAGAACAACAGACCATGATTCTAAGGAATTTTTCCTTCCTAAGAAATAATGGACTAAAAATAGAGAATTAGACACTTTCTAGACATGGTCAATATGGGAATTTGTTTTGCTTGACTATGAATATCTGTTACAAGGGTGGTTTTTCTTTTTTTCAGGGGAGAATGGGGCAGGTGGTTGGGAACAAAAATAAATGCTTAATTAAAATTTTTTTTTAAAGTTGTAAATTTCTCGTCACTGTTTTTAAACCTTAAAATGCTAGATAAATGGGAGTTTTGCAACATTTGTAACGTGTTCAAAGAGAAACTGTATGTTTAATTGCCAGGGATGCCACAGAGAGGATTCCTGTTCAGAAACAGGTAGATCAGAATCTCTCTGAGTGAGCTTCCAACTCTAAAGTCATAGGATTTTAATTTCTGACTCTCATGCATTTCACAAGCAGCGTCTACAGGTCTCTTGGTCTTTCCCAGATTCTTGGCCCTACACGTACAAACTTGTGGCCTTTTGAGGCCTGGTGGAAACTGCGTAGGCGTGGTGTCAGACGTGTAAACTGGGGGGTAATTCTGGAAGAGTTAGGACTTTAATTTTAACTTGGAATATCCATGTAACTAGGACTCCCTTCCCTTCTGTAGGCCTGGGTTTCTTCATTAATACGATATGGGAGCTGGACTTTTATTAAGTTCAAGAGAGAGACAAAGTTGAGATAGGACAAAGCCCCTGCCATCATGGGGAACACAGCCTAGTGAGAACATGGCACACATACACAAATAACTAATACAGTAAAGAAGACAAAGTCATCTGCTATCAGTGTAGGGCATGGGACTGGGATTAAGAATTTAAGGAGAGAGGAAAAGGTTTACAATAGTTGTTGTAGGGAATGTGACAGTGAATCTTGGCCATAGCATCAAGGAAGCTACTATATGAGAAAAAGCCTGGGAGAATCAGGAGTTGGGGAGGACTGGAGGTAATGATAAAGCTAAAAAGTTGACTAAAAGGATTGTGGAGCAGCTAAGGATTGGAAGGCTAAATTAGTAAGGGATACATTCATTCAGTAGCTTCATTTTCTCTAGTGGTGCTCAATACCTTAGGAATGGGTGTGGAAAAGTCAGATAGGGAAATGTTTCCTAGGGTTGAGAATTAGGAAGGTAGGAAGAATGACCAGTTAAAGAGGATAAGTAATTCCAGTGTGGTGTCCAGGGAATCACTGAAATAGGTCAGGATTGAGTAGGGTGGTAAGTGAGCCATAATGTGAGGTGTAGACTGGGACAAGATGGAGGGGCTGAGGAAATGGAAAGCATGATGAGTGGGAGAGGGTAGAAAGAGGAAGTTGGGGCTGGAAAGGGGAATCTGGAATCCAAGATTTAGAGGTGGTGGTGGTAGTGGGTCCCACAGGATACAGAGGTATGGCCTTGGAAGTCTAAGGTGGGAGTAGAATTAGAAATCACAGGAGTTGAAGCATTTGGAGAACTGTGAGATCAGGGTACGTGAATAACGAAGTAGTTGGCAGGATAAATCAGGTAAGTTGGGTGTTAATGTCATTGGGGAAGGAGGCAGTGTGTCCTGGAGGTCAGCAGATGATAAACAAGTGGATATGGTGGTATAATCAAATGGCATGAACTTGGATGGAGGAAAGGTTGAATTATGGTGAGAGAATTGTGATCTAGAAGGGGCAAAAGGGAGCAAGACTAACCTGACCCTTCACCACTCTTAAGTTCTGGGATAGATCAAGAAAAGCCTTTGTTAGAGAAGACTGTGAGAGATGTGTCCTCAGGGTACAGCTCACGTTTCAGTTAATGAGAGAAGGAATGTTTGAGGTTTAGGGGTTTGTTTAGAGTAGAACTGGGGTTCAGACAGGAACAATGGAGTAGACTGGAAGAGACCAATTTGGCCAGAGAATAAGCTGTGGGAGTGTGGTAGGGCTGTTCTGGATCAGAGGACCATAGGATAAGAACGAAGGGTGTGTGACCTGATACTGACTGAGACTGGGTAACTAAGGGGTGGGAAAGCACGGAGCAGCATGTTAGTCATTAGGAAGAAGTGGACTGGTGAGGAGAAATGAGCTGACAACGTGAATAATTAAAAGGTCCCAAGTTTTTAATCGGAATGTCGAGATGGAATGTTGGTGTTGTAGAGTATGGCCTTTCAGATGTTCTTGAGGCCCCTGAGCTTACAGCAAAAGAAAAAAGCTGAAATTGTACTCCCACCAACCTTCCAGATGTTCTCAGGCCCTCTGGACAATGGCCTCAGTGCTCCCAGCAGAGGGAACCGAGGAGCCACAGCCCTGCCTTCTTCTGTGTACTCCAGATGTTTTCGGACTCCCTAAGGGAATGAGCTTTGGAATTCCGTAATTCCATAAAACAGGGTAAAATGTCCAATTTCTACAGCTGCACTCCACTCATCCCACTCTTGGTCCTGTCAGTCACCTGGTTTTGGCTCAAACCTCTTCTAATCCCAAATCTGCCCGATTGCATTATTAGTTCTGGGCAGCTGCTGAGTTCAGGACATGTCTCCATTCAGCGGAAGTCCTTATTGATCATATCTACTTCTTCCTGGAAGGAGGCAGTTCAGTGATGGTAACCACATTTTAGGTGGGATACTGACCAGCCACCTCCACTAAAGTCTAATGTCTCACTGTGGTATGAAAGTGATCTCAAAGTCCAATCTCTGGAAGTCACACACAAGCTGGAAAGGCCTTACAGACCTAGTGATGGACTGTTGTCCAAGGATGAGCCCAGCTAAGTTCAAAGGTCAATCTCTAGGTCAGCTACAAGGTAATGAATTTTTTTTGGCCACCGCAACTCTCAAAGGCCATCAATTATGTTATGATCTACTAAGGGGTTGCAATCTGTGTCAGTGGAGGGAGCAACCACACCGATGAAGTACATCCTTGAAGTGTTGAGGGAAGTACAGACTAGCTGAATTGAGTACCAAAAAGAGTAACCATGCCATCTTTTTTTTGGGGGGGAGGGGTAAGGCAATTGGGGTTAAGTGACTTGCCCAGATTCACACAGCTAGTAAGTATCAAGTGTCTGAAGCCATATTTGAACTCGGGTCCTCCAAGGCCAGAGCTCTATCCACTGCACCACCCAGCTGCCTCAAAACCATGCCATCTTAAGATCAGCTCGAAGAACTGGGAATGGGTGGGCTGGATGGAGAGGTAGGGGATGGCATGGGAAACACGATGTCTCCCCCAAATCTGAATGGTTATTGTTTGGAGGAGTCATTAGGCTTGTTCTTGATTCTAGAAGCAATGGGTGAAAACTGCACAGAAGCTGATTTCAGCTTAATATATATTATAAAAGCAAAACCAAAACTATTTTCTTATAACTAGCTGGTGGAATAGGCTGCTTCAGAAGGTGGTGAGCTCCCAGCACTGGACATCTTCAAACAGTCCAGATAATGACATTTTGGAGATTCCTGTAGGGGTCATTCCTGCTTAAGTAACTTATACCTATGATTAGTGGGCTGCTGAGGTCTCTTCAAGTTCTGAGACACAATGAGCTTTTCTCCATGGGCTTAGCCCTTCCCAGATAGGGACAAGCTCAGAAATAGCTTCTAGGGGAGGCCTTGTTCCTTCTTTCCAGGCTCCCTGAACTTTACTCACCTGTCCTCAAGGTCTTCTCCTATTTGTGTAGGGATGGGGTGCAATAGGAAGGCCTGTACCAGAAACCCCATCCACATAGGGAATGGTACAACACTAGGGTAGAAAGGTGTTTCTGGGTTTGGAAGTGCTTAGGAAGACCAAGGTGGCTGACAACATTGGGGCAGAGTCATTTTAAAATCAGCAGATTATTTTTAAAAAGCTGAGAAATCTTCCGTGTAAAATTTCCAGAGTTCATTTTCCTATTAGCAGAGGTATCTTCACCTTCTCCCAGAGGGGGCAGCTCTGGGGAAGCTGTTCCCATTTTCCTCTGCTTCTTTATTTTCTTGCCAAGGAGAATAATATTAGGGCCACAGAGGAGAGAACAAAGATGGCTAATGGGGAAATGAAACTCCAAATAAGTAGCAGAGAAGAGAGCGTGTCACTTGGCTTAGACAGAGTTCATGCCAGGGAAATGAACTGGCAGAAAGGACTGTTGAGATGCCATCAGAGATCTTTGGAAGATTGTGGAGAAAGGAACAGGGCAGCGAGGTGGTGCAGTGCATAGAGTGCTGGGCCTGGAGTGAGGAAAACTCATCTTCCTGAGTTCAAATCCAGCCTCAGATACTTAGTAACTGAGTGACCCTGAGCAAGTCATTTAACACTGTTTGCCTCAGTTTCCTCATCTGTAAAATGAGATGGAGAAGGAAATGGCAAACCACTCCAGTATTTTTGCCAAGAAAACCCCAAATGGGGTTGAAGAGTTGGACACAACTGAAAAATGACTTCACAGCAACAAGAGAAAGGGAAAGGTGATGCAGCACGAGAAATGGCAAATGTTCAGGTTTAAAAAAAAAAAAGGAAATGAATAGAGCTACTACCTGTAGCCCAGTGAATCTGACTTCCTGGAAAAGTTCTAGAACATAACACTAAAGGGATGGTAATGAGAATGCTCCATGGAAAACAGATCATGTCAAAGCAACCTCATTTCCTTTTTTTACAGGGCTACTAAATTGGTAGACCAGGGGAATGACACAGATAATTTACCTAGGTTTTTGCTAAGCATTTGACAAAATCTCTCATCTCATTCTTGCAGAAAAGAAGGGACAATGTGGGCCAAATTAGGTGGAGCTGGAGTTGGCTGGGTGGGTGGACCCCAGAAGTAATTATTACTGACTGGTTTTATGCCAACTTAAAGCCGAGTCTTGACTGGAGTGTCAGTTAATATTTCATCCATGATTTAGATGAAGGTATAAATACAGTATGCTTACAAAATCTGCAAATGATAAAACTGCAGGAGAGAGAGCTAACATTCTGGATGAACGAGTCGGAATGTAAAACGGACAGGCTAGAACACTGGGCTGAACCAAGCCAGTAAGATGAGATCTGATGTGGAAAAATGTAAAGTCTTGTGACTGGGTTCAAAAAATCAGCTTCATAAATGCAAGGTCAGGGGTGTGGCCAGAAGAAATCTGAAAAACATCTGTAGGTTTTGGGGGACTGCAATTCCATATGAGTCAATAGGGGGGTTTGATGGCCAAAAAGCTAATGTTATCTGGGGCTTCATTAAGAGAGGTGTAGCTTCTAGGACTATGGAGGCAATTCTAAGGAGGTTCTCTCCCTCATCTGGTTTTGTACCTCACGTTTTAGGAAGGAAGCTGGAGAGTGACCATTTGGATGGTGAAGGACCTTGATTGAGATAATGTCACGTGAGGAGCAGATAAAGGAAGCAGAGATGTTTAGCCTGAAGAAGACACAGGGGAGATAGGACAGATGCCTTAAAGGATTTGAAGAGTTGTTACTTGGAACAAAGATCAGACTTATTCTTATTAAATCCTGGGAGCACATTTAGGAGCAACAGATGGAGAAACAGGGAGGAAATTTTAGATTTGATGTCAGGAAAAACTTCTAAACAATTAGATCTCTCTCCAAAAAAGTGGAATTGGCAGCTTCAGAAGGTAGCATGTTGTCCCTCACTGGAGGTATTCAAGCAAAGGCTGAATGACTCCTTTTCGGGGATGCTGTAGATGGAATTCTTCTTTAGCTATAGAATGAACTAGGATGGACTCTGAAGAGTCTGTGTATGCTCCCAGAAATTGCTCTGCTCAGTGACAACCACTCTTAGAAAGAGGCTCATTCTACATTTAGCCTATGACACAACTCAGTACCCGCTAAATACTAATGAACTACAAATGAACGGCCAGTCTTCACACTAGACCCAAACTCATATAACTAGGCAACTCGGGGCTTACCTCTTCATGAATGGCTGCTGCCAACTTCGGCCTACCTCAAGGAAGGCCACTTGTGGCTGCTACTCCTGGACGGAACGAACGGGCTATACTTCCAGGTTGGCTTCCTATCCTCTACAGAGGCAGGCAAATTAGGAATTATTAATAGATAATGATTACTGAATGCACTGACTATTCTGAGAAGCCGGAAAAGGAAGAGTGTAGCTATGACACCCTTGTCCTCACATCTATCTCTGCACTGCTCTGCATGTCATCAAAAAATATGGCCTGGAGGAAGGTGTCATCTGCTACACTGGACCAGCCTCACAGAGGAGGAGATGATGGGGTGCTACACAGGTCACTGGGCCAAAGGCTGAGGCCCAATCGAGTGGGTTAACTTCTGGACTTCCGGCCTTGATTCATTCAAAACCCTGAAGGTTCCGTTTCCTTAACGTGCCCATCTCCTCTGCCCTGTCCGGTCTGTTTCCCAGCACTGCCTCTGTGGAATACAGGTGTGTTTCCTCCGGCTCTCTGCTGCTGTCCAAGGGGAGCACTGTGTTCTCTGCTATGACGGCAGGATCGTCCTCTTCGTGCGGACAGCAAGTGCACTCTGATTTCTGGCTTGGAGGCAGGACTCTGTCCTGGTCACTGAAACTGACAGTCTTGTCTTTTGGGGCTTGGCAGTCCCGGCTGACTTCACCCAGGTCAACTGGTAGACTCTCACAGCACAAATGATCCTCCTCTTCCCCTAGCCCCCCCATTCTTTCTGCTATCTCTTCAGCAGAGGTTTGGTTCAAGTCAGGGTAATCCACTAGGATTGTATCTGGCCTTCGCTTGACACAGTCTGAAAGGTCATAAACTGGGTACGTCTCTTCTGGGTAGCCTACACAGAAAAACAGAGAAAAGGTCTTGGGATACTCTTTCAAGAAATAAAACACAGGGTTAAAAAAAGATTCAGAGAAGGCAGCCATCCTGAAAAATCCTTTCGAGAAGCCTACAGATGATCCTAATGGTTTTGAAGTTGCACTTGGGCAAATGCTCAGCAATTTGGTTGACTGTCCAAATGCTCTCCGAGACACAAACCAATTCAGATAAAAACACCATCCTGAGCATGGAGAACTAGAAAATGGGCTTATAAATGGCTCTGCACTCAGGAAGATGCACTTTGGCATCTCCATTTCAACCCTCCCCCAACATACACACACACACACACACACACACACACACACGCACGCACGCACACGCACACACGTGCACACGCACACACACACACACACACACACACACACACACACACATGCAGAGCTTTCTTCTGTAGGACCAAAGAGGAAGACTAAACAAACAGCTAAAACCTTCCACTTGAAGAATTGCACCAAATGCCAGCTGAAGGAAGCACAGCTCATGTTTATAGTTTATATTTGGAACCATTTTAAGAGCTTCCTGCCGGGAGAAAAAGACAACATTTTGTGAATCCTACTTAGCAACACAATTGAAATAGTTGGTGAGCGTCAGGTATAGAGGAGGACGTGCTTGAGATCCTGGACGCCAAGCGCCATGCTTTCCAAAGACAGAATTCCCATTGTCAATTTCTTTGCCTTCACAAAACAGAACAAAAGAACAGAACAGACCCGGTAAATAAAGTAAGGAATGCAGGCGGTGCGGTGCTGAATCCCAGCTCTGATAATGAGAAAAAACAAAAATGTTGCCAAATTAAGGAAAGTAATGAAATAAATCTATGTCAGCCAAGCCCCAGCCCGAAAGGCAGATGGGCCGGGCTGCAGCTTGTGTGCCAGAGCTGGCAGTGGGCCTCATGCTTGCTGCACAATGTGAAAAGCTGGAAAATTCAAAATCCATTTGCACATTATTATAATTGGTAAACTCAACCTTAATGTAATAGGAGGCCTCTTTCTGGATTCCACTCAGGGCCTGGAGAGGCTTTTTATTTGCTGATAGGGAACAGAGAATTAGGGGGAAGCCATTTACCTTCCCAGTCCTCCATGTAAGGGGCTTCCTCGGCCTCCTTCTCAGGAGAGGGGCTGTCGAGAAGTTTTCCCTCCTTCATGACCCTGGTGATTTCTCGGAGTTGCTGCAATAGCCGTTTTTCCTGGTCCGAAGTCACGTTCTGTGCCCTGCTCAGAGGGGTCAGACACAACTCGGTTATCTGCTAAATCCCAATGAGCAATGATTCCCCCACAGCCCATTACAGTGACCTGCCTCTGTCCTAAACAAGGGAGCTCAAAGGCAGGAGGGGGTTTGGTTACTGGCCACAGTGATCACCTCCATTAGCAAAAGATGTCTTTCCCTTCACAAAAGAACTGAGAAAAGTGTCTTAGGTTATTCCTACATGAGTTCCTGCATCCTAAGGTAGAAGCAAGCTAACAAATCCCAGAGATGCTATTCTTGGCCTGTTCCAGAAGCACCCAGGCCTGGCTGACTTTCTCTCTCTCTTTCAGTGACTGGAAGGTGATACCATGAGTAACTGGCCCCTCCTGAAAGTCTGGGCAAGGCTGCTTCAGGGCCAGCCTCTTCAAATATTAGGTGTCCTGCCAATGAATTGTATATAAAAAAGCATTTAAGTTACTGAGTAGTCAGTCTCAGCCCAGGAAACATTTATGGATTTAAAAAATGTTCTTCTCTGGTACGGCCACGGGAGGGAGACCTTTCATTTTACAATCATCTCCCAGATCCTGGCTGGCAGATGCTATTACTCATAGCTAGAACTGGAAGGGACCTTTGAGATGATCGAATACAGCTCCTTGCATTTTGTCCCTGATGAAACTGCTGCCCATGGTGGGAAGGTGTCTTCCCTAAGATGGCCACGATTCAAGCCTGGGATCCTGACTCAACATCCAGAGCTCTCCCTACGACATAGAGGTCACTGTCCCTCTAATCTGTCACGCCATCTGGACCTCGCCTGCTCAGCACAGCCCCAAGGATGGACATGGCATCAAGGCCCTGACGCTGTCAGGATCTTTTAGGATAAGGAAATAAAAGAGGGAGTAGGGTGTACTGGGAAGTCCGATGGAATCGGGGGCAGGTCTGGATTCCAATCTTGCTTCTATCACTTAGTAGTTGTATCATTTGGGGCAGCCAGGTGGCACAGTGGATAGAGGACGTGGAGTCAGGAAGATCTGAGTTCAGAAATCTGGCCTCAGACACTTACTAGCTCTTTTTACCTTGGGCAAGTCACTTGGCTGCTTTTTGCTTCAGTTCCTCATCTGTAAAATGGGGACACACTGGAGAAGGAAATGGCAAAACCACTCCAGGGGTCACATAGACACTACTGGACAACAGTTGTTAAAACTTAAACTAGGAAGAGCCTCGTAAAGGCTAACAGGACCTTTCTTCTAGCATGATGAAGTGTTCCTGATGAAGTTTATTGCCTGGGGCGATCAAACTGGAGTGCCTCAGAATAGCCCTTTAAAAGAGGTAGTTAGGGAAGGGGAGAAAAAGAGAGATGAGAAACACGGAGAGAAGGGGGCCCCAGTTCAGAAAAGGGGCATCTGAAAAGCTCTTCTCTAAGGAAGCAAGTGGTAATAGGAGAAGAGGCAGAGCAGAACCTGGAGGAGTTCCTGGACCATGTAGGGGAGCACAGGACTAAGCATGGAGTTGAGCTGAGGAGCACTGGGGAACAAAGCCGCACCGCAGACAAGCAGTTTGAGGCCACAGGTTACCAAAAAAATGAAGAGGTTGAATTAGCCTCTAAGGTTCCTTCCAGGATCATGTGATTGTTTTTCCTCTTGACATCGCCAAGGTAGTGTGTGTGTATATGTGTATGTATGTATGTATGTATGTATGTATATATGTATGCATATATGTGTCTACACACACATACATACACATATAGTCATCTTTCCATAAACCATTTCCATATGACCAGGTAGAAATAGATAACACCACCATAACTCCCATTTCTGTAGCAGGTCACAATGTCCTTTCCTCCCAACAATCCTATGAGATATGGTAATGCAAATATTATTATTCCCATTTTACTGTGGAGGAAACTGAAGCTTCAAAGAGGGTAAGTGATATGCCTAAGGTCACACAGCTAAGAAATGGTAAAGCCAGAATCAAACCAAGGTCTCCTGATTCCAAGTTTGGGGCTCTTAGGAACATGCCCTGCTGAATCACTTCAGATAGCACTTCATTCATGCTGTGACTAATCCAGAGAATTCACAAAGGGGCCCGACCCTGAAATAAAGCTTCCTTGGTCATTTAAATTCAATTCAACATGTATTTATTAAGTATCTACTATGCGCAAGACACTGCAGTGGGTGGAGAAGCCTTGTACCGGCTTTACTACCTCCACTCAGATCAAACCCTCTGCCACAGCAGGTGCCGAGTTCCCTGAAATGCCTCACGACTCACAGACAGTCAGAGTGCTGTGATTTCTGCAGTCTTGTCACTTCCCTCCTCATTTCCACTCGGTTTCTAGTCAATCAACAAGCACAACGCACTGGACGCGGTGACACAGAAACAAAGCATCTGTCCTCCCCGCACGGGGAGTCTGGATTGGGAGGGAAGACACACGTGTACATAGGAGTATATGTCCTTAGGTATATTAATACACAAAATAAATACAAGGTAACTTGTTTTTGGTGGAAGCACCTATCATCTTTGAAGGGCATCAGGGAAAGTTCCAGGCTGGAGGTGGAATCTGGAACTAGGGATTCTAAGGCAGAGGGAGGAGAAGGTACAGTGTAGACACCCCCTCCTCACATGCTTGGATGGGCACAGATAAGGAAGGAGATGTCAGGGGTGAGGAACTGCAGGAAGACCAGCCTGGCCAGACCCAAGACTGTGCAACGACTGGAGTGACACCCTGTTTGTCAGGAGGCCAGACTCTTACCTGCCTCTACCTCCCCCAATGCTGGCCTTAACCAGAAATGCATGAGGAGGCCTGAGAGCTGCTAAAATGGGCGTCATAAAATCCCCATGTTTTGTTCTTCAGATGGGTTCTCCCTTACTCAGAAACATCCTTGCTAACACACGACTCTTAACAAGATTGGTGGCCTGGTTTTCCAGCCAACAGAAAATCAGAAACAGCCTTCTAGAAGGGGAAGGAAGGGCTATCAGAGACAGGTAGAAACAATGGCAACCAAAGTCATAGATAAAGATGCCGAAGCCTTGGTACTCTGTTACCATACAGTACAAATAAGGACTCTAAAAATGAGTAATTACTCTGAATCGTTAAGAAATGGTTGAATTATATTCCGTTTGCTCTGTTTGAGAAGAACCTAGATTTCAATAAAAATAGTTAAACATAAAAAGTTTTGTTGTTTGCCATTTGGAGAAATCAGGAGAGCTACTGATAAGACGATGCTAACACGTGTTTTGTTAATATGAATGTTTGTTGAATAGGCACCCACAGGTTGGTGGGCACTGAGCATTTCCGGCTCACCTCAAGTGAAGGAAGGACAAATCCTACTTTCTTTTTTCTTTCTTCCTAAGATCTCTCAGGAGGTCTAGGGGAGATGCTATGTAAAACACCAAGACTGACTCTTCTATGAAGTGAAGGGCTGCCACAGGGGCTGCAGGGGACCTTATGGACTCAGAGATGAAGAAGCTAGAATTATACACCAAAAGCATTAAGGGAGACCTCTAAAGGCAACAGGTCAAGGCCTAGAGGTCATGCCAGTCAACCCAAACATCTGCTAGGTCATTCATCTTCAAGAGCAATGCTACCCTGCAACAAACACTTTTCTCTGAATGATCAGTGCTAATGACATTAATGGACAAAGTTTTCTGCCTTCTGCACTCATCTCATGCAAGAAAATGTTCCTTTTCTGAATCAGGTTAGATTCAAACAGGATTCACCAAAAGAAAACATAACAGTTCTAGCCTCTAGAAATGTAGCCAATAGCTTCTGAGGTGGCTCATCACACAGGGACTTGAGCTTGCTCATGAAAACTCCTTTGGGCTTCACATTTCACACTCAGGCACAAAGAACTTTGCAATTAAATAATCTAAAACAATTTTATTTTTCCAGGAGGGTCAGTCATACAATTCAACCAGCTTTGCTTGTGGGTCAGGTACTCAAATAATCCTTCCATTCATCCAAACACTCATTAAATATCTGTCATGTGTGAGACACTGGGGGAGATACAAAGAGAAGTAAAACTGAGACCCTGCCCTCAAGCTGCTTACAGACTAGTGAAGAAAAGGAAAAATTCCAGGGTAGCAATGACTCTGGACTCACTCTTACAGATCAAGGAAGGTTTACTTCTTCCCCTCAGGATTCCAGGGGCTACCCTTGAAGGGTTAGGGATGTCTGATGCTACCGACTTGAGCCCCCTACTCTTACCTCTGTCTTTGGCTCAGATGCAGCAGAGTTTCTATTTAACATTGGTCCTATCAGATGCAACATCAACGTGGTGGATTTGAATCTCAGCCACCCTGGGCTAGGTATCCAAAGACCCTCCTTGGTCATTGAGGCTGGACTGACTGACCACTAAGGTCCCTATAGACTCTACTCTCATGCCTGACCTTTCAAAGCTGCCAAGGTCACAGTCACCTCTAGTCTCCACTGCAATGCACGCAGCCAGGCAGGAAGAGTGAGACCAACAGGCCTGGCTCTGGCTCATCAGAGCCTTCTGAATGCACCGCAGTCTTGACTACACGGTCATTCATCCTCCAAATCTCTCCAAGGTGCACCCCTTACACGTTATCATGCTTCTCTGGAAACAGGCTCCCCCTAGCCAGGGAATGGCGGTGGCTGAGCATAGGGATGCCTATTCACCAGTGCCCTGTTATACCTGCATGGTGAAAACTAGATGTCAGAAGTTCTGGTTGAGTTCTGGTCCTGCCCCTAAATCACTGTGTGGTCTTGGCCAAGCCACTTCTTTCTGAGCCTTAGTTTCCTCATCCACAAAATGAGGGATCCTTATGGTCTCAGCTAGGACTAAAAAAAAAAATCTCATGATTCCATTCGTTTAATAGTGCTTGTTATAAACAAAGCACTATACTGGGTGTAGGGGTATGTGTGTGTGTGTGTGTGTGTGTGTGTGTGTGTGTGCGCAAAAATAAATAAGGCATAAATGATCCTTGTAACAAGTTTACTGGCTAGCTCTCAGCTTCATACACAAGTATTTAATTCACTTTTGCTTTCTGAATGCATGAGAGTCATTAC